TTATCATTCTTGCAGATGATATTATATTATATAGAAGAGATGCCAAAAATTCCACCAGAAAACTCCTAGAAATTATTAACAGGTTCAGTAAAGTGGCAGGTTACAAAATTAACCTACAAAAGTCTGTAACCTTTGTATATACCAATAACAAAAAATCAGAAAAAGACCACGTGGAAACACTCCCCTTCACAATAGCTGCAAAAAAAAATAAAAAAAAATAAAAAAAAAAAAATCTCGGATTAAACCTGACCAAGACATTAAAGAGCTCTACAATGAAAATTTTAAATCTTTAAAAAGATTGAGGAAGACGTCAAAAGATAGAAGGACCACCCATGCTCACGGACCAGAAGAATTAATATTGTGAAAATGACCATCCTACCAAAAGCCACATGTAATCCCAATAAAAAAATCCCCATGAAATACCTCACATAATTAGAAAAAAAAATCCTTACATTCATATGGAAGCACAAAAGATTCCAGATAGCCAAAGAACAGGAGCACAAAGAGCAATGCTGGGGTGATTACTGTACCAGATCTCAAAGTATACTACAGAGTTATAGTCATAAAAACAGCATAGTTCTGGCACAAAAATAGACACATAGATCAATGGAACACCCTTGAAAACCCAAACCTAAATATACAAACAATTTCAGCCACCTGAAAGTGTGAATGATGTTTGACAAAGGGGCCAAAAACATTCACTGGGGGAAGCATCTTTAACAAATGGTGCTGGTGAAACTGGATCTCTACCTGTAGAAGAATGAAACTAGATCGGGACTTTCACCTTGCACAAAAGTCAATTCCAAATGGATCAAGGACCTCAATGTAGAGCCTGAAACTCTGAAACTGTCAGAAGAAAACATTGGGAAAAACCTACACCATATAGGTGTAGGAAAGGATTTTCTAAATTGGACATCAATTGCTCAGGAAACAAGGGCAAGAATCAACAAATGGGACCTCATTAAACTAAACAGCTTCTGTACATCAAAGGAGGCAACCAGGGAAGCGAACAGAAAACCCACAGAATGGGAGAAAATCTTCACCAGCAACACATCTGACAGAGGTTTAATATCCAGAATATGTAACGAACTCAAAAAACAGAGAATCAAGACAAGAAGCAACCCAATTAAAAGATGGGCTAAGGAGCTGAACAGAGAGTTCTCAAAAGAAGTAAAGATGGCTAAGAAGCATCTTAAAAGATGTTCAACATCACTAACAATTAGCGAAATGCAAACTGAAACCACTTTAAGATTTCATCTTACCCCAGTCAGACTGGCTAAGATCAAGAGAACAAATGATACCAAATGTTGGAGAGGATGTGGGGAAAGGGGAACACTCATCCACTGCTGGTGGGCTGCAAACTTGTTCAACCCCTATGGAAAGCAGTGTGGAGAACTCTTAAAAAACTACAAATGAACCTACCATTTGACCCAGTTATACCACTCCTTGGCATATACCCAAAGAACTCGTCCTATTGCAGAGACACTTACTTGTACATCCATGTTTGTTGCTGCTCTTTTCGCAACAGCTAAGAGATGGAAGCAACTTAAGGGTCCCTCAATTGATGAGTGGATAATGAAAATGTGGTTCATTTATACGATGGAGTTTTACCCAGCAGTAAAGAAAGATGAAATCATGAAATTTGCAGGTAAATGGATGGAACTGGAAACTGTTATACAAAGTGAAGTAACACAGACTCAGAAAAAAAAAAAAAAATCAACATATGTTTTCCCTCATATGTGGATCCTAGAACCAAACCCTGATAAGTATGTATCCAGACATAACTACAGGAACCAGGATAATGGAAAGGAACCAGGGAGGTAAAGGAAAAGCAAGAATCTGAAAGAGAAGAACAGTAGGAAACAGGCATTAATAAGGGTGATACGGATAAAAGCTGGGTTATAAGAAGAAAGAAGCAGTTCAACAGAGGTAGGATCATAGGAGCAAGGGTATTAGTAAGGAAGAAGGGGGAGGGACGTGGGGGCACCTTAAGTGGGAAAACCATGATAGAGGGGTGAGACGATACAAGAGATAAATAATGCCTAGCTAGTTTTAAAAACCAGAGGGAACCATATTAGTCCAACAACCTACTGACAAATTATACGTACCAGATCAAGAAATATATGTCTAGGCAAGGTTTATCTGAGAACAACTGGCATTTGCCCAACATTTATCTACATGGCACATAGTAATTAAAAGTACCAGACTGGTGGAACTAACCTTCTTGGATGTTTAACAGACATACTTTGAGGCCTATACTAATTTTGTTAAAGGGCCATAAAGGACAGGTTTTGCTCCTTGCCCTCCTAGGTCGACTAGTTCCAGGGGACTATGTGCATCTCTCAAAATTGTGGTGGGTCACCTGTCCTCTTGATCAGGAGGCCGAGGAGACCCCCACGAGATGGACTTGAACCAGTGTCCAGTCTACAAAGAGGAGGGTCAACACAGAGGAAACATTTCCTCCATGCTTCCAAATGAAGCCAGCCATGGTCGAGCAGGACCTTTGATTTATCTTCACATAGGCAGAACTGGTAAAAGGAGCCAGGGGCTCCTCCCAAGCTCATGTGACCCCTGAGGAACAAACAGATCCTCAAACGGCCTTAAAAGTAAAAAATAAATTGGTTTATCTTGGCCAACTGTACGGCCTTAAACACCTAAAAGGAACGTATAACCAAAGATTAAAGGGGCCAATATAATTTTTGTAAAAGTCCATATGTATAGCAAAAGGCTACATAACAAGCAACAATGCCAGATAGGAGATACCTTCTTTTGAGTTGTCGGCCCGGGTGGCCAAAGGGACTCCCAGATAGTAACCCAGCATAGAACTGGGAAAATGAACAGAAGACCCCAATCTTACCTAAAGGAATATTGACAACTGATTGCTGCTAGATGAGGAACAGCTGACCCTCCTAAAACAAAGACCTCTAGACAGGCTGACTAGATTCACCAGAAGGGCAAGTAGTGGGGAATGGCTGGGGGTGTCGACAACACAGCAGACAGTAGCAGGGATATCAGAGTATAAGGGCTCTAGTGGGGGGAGGGAGGGTATGGGAGGGTGCTATCTGGGAAGTAGGTGTATAGTTGAATAAGAAGGTTCGGGATGTTCTGTGTGATATATACACATACAAACAAAACAAATCAACAAATTAATAAACGAATTACATTTGAGGAGGAAGCATAAAAATTTACATCATGTTAATTAGTAGAGGTGATAAACATTACCACTGAAATCTACCGATGACTTTATAGACATATACAGGTGCCAAGGATCCGAGTGCAACCAATTACGACTAGTAATAATCAGATACATACAGACACACATTGTGCCAACATCTCAGTGGTATTAGCAAAAACAGTGAGTCCTTCTGTAAGAAACTACATTCTAAAATGAAATGGAGATCTTTTTTAAAGGTTAAAAACTCATTCAATTTTATGTCTTACAGGGCTTATACTAAGTTCAATATTGTATAACTGTATTAATTCAACAGTGAACCGAAAAATTTTATAGCCACTTTTGAAAGAGATGTATCTTTGCTCTGGAAACTGTTAATGAATATGTTAAAGCTGTAATGAAATGCTTCTTTAAAAAAAAAAAAAAGAATTATAATGCAAAAATGGATATTTTATACATTAAGTTCTTATATTAATACATAATTTTTTAAAATGTTTTTTATTTTTATTTTATGTGTATGAGTATATTGCCTGCATGTATGTGAGAGCACCCATGTCATATAATGCCTTGGAGGTCAGAAGAGAGGACTTGCTTTCCCTGGTACTGGAGTTAAGGACAGTTCATAGCCACCATGTGGGTGCTGGGAATCAAACCCCGGTCCTCTGCAAGAGCAGTCAGTGCTCTTAATTGCTGAGCCATCTCTCCAGCCCCTATTATTTATGTGTATGGGCATTTACATAATTCTTATTATGCCCTATGACCTACTCATTACTGTTTGGTGTTGCATGCCTTTAATATCACTCTAGAAGGAGAGGCAGACAGATCTGAGTTTCAGGCTATCCAAGGCTACACAGTAAGACCTTATCTCTCCTTTACTTCCTTTCTTTTTGAGAAAGTGTCTTGCCAGAAAAACCAGACTTGCTTCTAACTTACAGTCTTCCAATCCTCAGTCTCCTAAGTGCTGAGGAGTAGAAGCAGGTTTGCACTCTGTTCTACCATACCCAGCTGCATTGCTTTTTAATACTGCAAATATTCTTCCCATTCTGAAAATTTCAAAGATCCTATGAGAAATTCTCTTTACTTCACTCTCTTCACTGCTTGTAAGTTTAGAAAAATCATCATTCCAGAGATTTCAAAAAATTTTTTATTTATGCTGGGTGTGGGAACACGTGCCTTTAGTCCCAGCGCTCCCTGGAGGCAGAGGCAGGAAGATCTCTGTGAGTTCAAGGGTTTAAGGCCTGCCTGGTCTACAAAGCGAGTTCCAGACCAGCTGAGGCTATAGGGAGACTCTGTCTCAAAAAGAACAAAAAAAACCCTATTTATTGGTAGGGCCTGGGCCTTTAATCTTAGCACTTGGAAGGCAGAGGTTGGTGGCTTTTCATGAGATTGACGTCATCCTGGTCTACACAGCAAGTTCCAGGTCAGGTGGGCTACAGAGGGACCACTCCAAAATTTATTTTTTCGGTGTATGAGTGTTTTACCTGAATGTACTTAAGTATACCATGTGCATTCAGTGCCCCCAGAAGTAGAAGACGGTGACAGAGCCTCTAGAATGGAATTAAACATGGCTGTGAAACTGCCATGTGGGTGCTGGGAACCAAACCTGGGTCCTCTGCATCAGCAGTCAGTGCTCTTAGCCAGAGTCATCTCTACAACCCCCATTCCAGAGATTTAACACTGAATGACACTGGGCAAAAAGATGTCATTTTATATTATATAAAAGGGTCTATTTCTGTAATATATTCTCTGATCCAAACATTATTTCTGAACTTGTACCATTTTTATGAATGTAGTTTTGTTTTATACTTTGCTATTCAGTAAGGTTGGTCTTAGCTAATTAATTCTTATTCAAAACTTCCTTTTTCACCCACTGTCACAGATGAATCTTTGCATGTAACTGCCATTTAGTCAAATCAGTAAATTGAGAATTAGTATCACTGCAACACTTAGTTCACCCTTCAAACAACATAGAATATATATTTAGAGCACCCTTCTAAGAACATACCTTTTCGTCCTTTATACTATTCTAATTCTTCAGAATTAACAAACTGACAGTAATTGATGACTTATACTTTGCCTACCTCCTCTAAACAGGAATTTAGCTTTAATAATGATTAATGATTTACCTCTACTGGTGTTGTTTCAGGAATTTCTCTGAGAATTACAATACAACGCTTATGACTTGGTCTCACCTTCTCACCATTCTCATCGACTTGTACCATAGGAGAAGCTGAAATTTTAAAAAGGAGATGTTTTACTTGAAAGCAACAGGAGTGATATTAATGATACCATTAAAAATTATTCACTTCAGGGACTAGAGAGATGGCTCAGTGGTTAAGACAGTGGTTGTTCTTGCAGAAGACCCGGGTTCGAATCCCAGCACCCACATGGCAGCTAACAACTGTCCGTAACTCAAGTTCCATGGGATCCAACAGCCTCTTCTGTCCTCTGCGGGCATTGCATGACATGGGTGCGTTTACCTACACACATGCAATACATACATACACATAAAATGAAAATAAAAATATTTTTAAAAATTATTCATTTCAATTTCTTACCCACTAAATTATCATAGGCTCAGGTAAAATGTCCCTCCCCCCAAAACTTGAGGTTTAGATACAAAGAACATTATTAAATGTTATTCACTCAATATTCAGTGCACCTAGTTTATAATGCAGTGTGCTGAAAAGAAGACTGAAGAGAAGGAGAAGCATTCATAATTGTGTCTTCGGCATCTATTTTCCCCCTTCTTTTTCCCAATGGTGAAGATGGAACCTAGGACTCACTCCGATACACTTGCTTTTCTTTTTTTTTGTCTTTTTGAGACAGGGTCTCCCTGTAGCGCCAGCTGGCCTGGAACACTACTATGTAAACAGGCTGGCCTTGAACTCACAGAGACCACCACCTGTCTCTGCCTCCCCGGAGCACTGGGATTAAGGCATGCACAACCACACACAGCTACATTTGCTTTTATATACCACTACAAAGACCTAAAAGGCATCTTGTAGATCCTAACTGTATACACAGCTGACTGTGAACAGGTACAGAAAGTTTAAAAAGCAGCCAGGGGCAAAGATCTGGTATCAACACTGATACCTTAACTTCTCAACCAAAGAAGTTAAGGAGTTCCATAGTTCCATTTTGTCTCTGCCAATTTTCTTTATAAATTAAAAGGGGATGATTTAAAGAAATGATGTCCATATAAACCAATTAGGACACCTCATAAATGGTTACAGAAAATGGAAATCCTCTACTCCCTCATATAAAGTCTATTATTGCACTTGCTATACATAACTTTTAAACATTTTGAACCCATTTCATATAAAGTGAAGATTTGGGGCTGGAGAGATGGCTCCACGGATAGGAGTACTGGTTGCTCTCGCAGAGGTTCAGTTCCAACACTCACATGGCAGCTAACAACTGTCCATAACTCCAGTTCCAAGGGATACAATGCCCTCTTCTGGCCTCGATGGGCAGTGCAACATAAGTGCATTTACATACATGCAGGTAAAACACTCATATACATAGAATAAAAATAAATTTAAAATATCTTTTAAACTGAAGATTTGAGAGGGCTGGGGAAATAGCTTAGTGTAGAGCACTTATTTGGCATGTACCCACCTCTAGGCTCAATCTCAAAAGATCTACCTTTATTCAGTCAAGTAGTTAACAAAACCCATTCACAAGAGAGGCTATCAAGTGTGCTGTTTCTATATATATGTGTTTAAATCTGCATTAAAACATTTTCTTGCACGCCTTTAATCCCAGCACTAGGGAGGAAGAGGCAGGCAGACTTTTGCTAGCCTGGTATACATAGCAAGTTCCAGGCGAGCTTGGGCAAACAGGGAGACTGTCTCAAAAAATACCGAAAGAAACCCCCCAAAACAAAAAAAACATTTTCTTGATAAATTACAACTTTGCTTTATTAAAGTAAAAGACATTGAGAAATATTAACAAGGGGCTGGCGAGATGGCTCAGCGGTTAAGAACAGTAGTTGTTCTTGCAGAAGACCCACGTTCAAATCCCAGCACCCACATGGCAGCTAACAACTGTCCGTAACTCCAGTTCCAGGGGATTCGACAGCCCCTTCTGTCCTCTGCAGGCATCGCATGACACGGGTGCACTTATCTACATGCAGGCAATATATACATACACATAAAATAAAAATAATAAATAAAGCATTTTTAAAAAAAGAAATATTAACAAAACACAAACACCAGTGTGGGACTGCAAGACACAGTGGTCTCCATACATGTTAAAGTTACAGGTAATTTTCTCTTGTTGAAAGAAGTTCAAGGATAGAAGGAAGTAGGTACTGGCACCGTTAGCTGGACCATAAAGGTGATGAAGACTCAACTCATCAGGTAGTTAGGTACGAGTATTAGGCCACCAAGGATAAACTATGAAAACAGAATATGTGGCTAAAAGTAGATTAAATAACCAGAAGCTTCTCCATCACTTAGTTTTTGAAATTTTATTCCTTCGTGTGTGTGCATTTAAGTGCTGAAATGTGCATGCTGTAGGGTACATGTACAGGACAGAGGACAACTCTCAGATTCAGTTCTCTCCTGCCACTCTATGTGATCCTGGGATCAAACTCAAGTTGTCAGGCCTGTATGAAAGTGCCTCTCTCTACCTACTAAGGCACATTACCAGCCCATCATAAATTAGTTTTGTGACAAAAATTAATACAAATGGAATAAACAATTCCAATGGAATGATGACACATGAAGCCTACCAGTAAAATGGCAAAATTACTTTAGTATTAAAGTTGTTCTTCAAGGGCTAAAGTATCTACTGCTGTCTATAAAAAACAAGGAGCTTTCAAAGCCACTAAAGGATAATACAAAACAATTAATGTTAATGAGTCTCAAGGTTCAATGAGACTCTAACTCAAAAGATAAGGTGGATATCTAGTATGGTGCTGCATACCTTTAGTCCCAGCACAGGGGAGGGGGAGGCAGAGGCAGGGGGATCTCTGTGAGTTCAAAGCCAGCCTAGCCTGGCCTATATAGCGAGTTCCAGGTCAGCTGGGGCTACAGGGAGACCTTGCCTCAAAAAAAAAAAAAAAAAAAAAAAAAGACAGGGTGGCAAGCATTTGAGAAGACATCCAGCATTGACCTTGGATCTTTGGCATACATGAGGAACACATTTTCAAGGACAAAAGGGCACAACCATAAAAAAATTCCTATAGACTCAAACACAAGACAAATTCTTAGCTAGATTTGATGACACATGCCTATAATTTCAAAACTTGGGAGCCGGAGGATTACTTCAAGTTCAAGACCAGCCTGAACTTTATATTCAGACACTGTCTCAAAAAGGATTGTCGGCCTGGTAGCACAGACCTTTAATCCCAGCACTCAGGAGGCCAAGGCAGGCAGATCTGTGAGCTCAAGGTCAGCCTAGCCTACACAGCAAGTTCCAGGTCAGTTGGGGATACAGACAGACACCATCTCAAAAGACCAAAAAAAAAAAAAAAAAAAACACCAAAAAAACAAACAAACCACCAGCAGTTGGAGATGGAAGATAAAGCGTTCCAGGTCATCCTTCAGTACACAGTGAGTTTTGAGACCAAAGTGGGCTACATGAGACTGTGTCTCTTTCTGGTCATAGTGGTGTTTATCTATAAATTTCAGCACTTGGGAGATTGAAACCAAGAGGTCAACACCATCTACACAACCCTATTGGGGGTAGAAGAGAAAACAGGACAAGAGAGGGATGGAGGAGAAATTCTTTATCAAACTTTAGGGTGTTTGTCAAATTATATGTCACACCTCATTAGCAGGCAGTAAAATCAAGATGAAACAAATCAAGTTACTGTAAACATTACTATTAATTAAATGTGTATTGAGCTGAGATATAAAATGTTCATATGTGCATGCAAAAGTTGGAAATAGATGGCTTTAAAGGGTATGAAGATGACATTCTTTCAATAAGTTTTTAATATCCTATAACACAAAGTTTAATAGCTTATAACTTGCTTTGTGAACTTGAAGATGAAAAATGGAAGTGTACACACACACACACACACACACACACACACACACACCAGTCAGCCAGAGAAAAGAAAGAAATTGCTAGAACAAAATTAAAAAGAAAAGCTTAAAGCATCAATTAAAACAATTACTTGGATATTCAGATATTTAAAGTAAATATAAACAGTTTTAATTAAAAACTAAGGCAAAAGCCATTATTTACATACATCTTAGTACTTCAAGAATTAGATCTGGATCTGTGGTCAACTTTTTTATTTCTTCCATGTTGGCAACTGTCCATATTGGGACAAACTGATCACTATCCATTTGTGATATCAAGTAAAGATCCTTCGATAAATTTTCTCTGAAAGGAATAAACAGAAGCAATATAAAAATACTTAAAAAGCACCTAAAGAAAAAAAATGTAGTCCATTCATGTTTATCACTGTGTAGAAAAAGTAGTAGAAATAATAAACTATGGAAAGTTCAACTGTTATAACTACTCAACTTAAAACAACATTACACAATTAATACATTTGGAATTTTTTTTGTGTGTGTGGGGGGTCTTTTTGAGACAGGGTCTCCTCTGTAGCCCCAGCTGTCCTGGAACTCACTATGTTGACCAGGCTGGCCTTGAACTCACAGAGATCCGCCTGCCTCTGCCTCCCAAGTGCTGGGATTAAAGGCATGCACCACCATGCCTGGCTACTTTCAGAAAGTTTTTGAATCCCCAAATATATCTGGCCCAATAGTTCGGATAAGGAACTTTCTGGAATTATATTGACCTGGAAGTTTAATATTACATATAGTGCAGTGCCATCTCATAAACACTTTTATCACCAAATACTAGAATATGCAAGTGGAAAAAATGGTAGTTTAACCATAAACTGTAACCTGGAATATTTCAAATTTATAAATGTTTATTTTATTTATTTAATATGTATGAGTGTTATTCCTACATGTACTTAAGTGCATTTGTGTGTGCAATGCCCACTGAGGCCAGAAGAGGGTTTTGTGTACTTCTGAATTGAACCCAGGTGTTCTACAAGAGCAGCCAGTACTTGCAACTGGTGAGCCATTTTCCAACCCATTTATATTTTTGAATAACCATGTTTGATTCTTGTAACTTAAAATATATTTAAATTTAAGATGAAAATTACTTGTTATATTTTAGAAAGACATTTCTGTTACAAGTAAAAATCTTGCTTAAAATATTTTACTTTTCACTTAAAATTTTTTATGTGTATTGTGTTTTTCGTGCATTTACGTAAATGCACCTATGTTGTTCAATGTTCCCCCGTTTTTTGAGACAGGCTCTTACTATGTAGCCCAGGGTAGCCTAGAACCCCCAATGTAGTCTAGGCTGACCTTTAACTCATAAGAGATCAATTTGCCTCTGCCTCCTGAGTGTAGGCATCACCAAACCTGACTTGTCTTTTGTTACTATTGTTTTATGGTCCAAGTTGGCCTGGAACTTGCCATGCAGCCCAGGATGACACTGAACATCTGATCCTCCTGCCACAGTTAGCTCAATGCTTGAATTATGGACAATGAATTACCAGGTCAAATTCTTGTCTTTTTATTCAAGTCAAATAATCTTTTTTTTTTTTTTTTTTTTTGTCTTTTTGAGACAGGGTCTTCCTGAAGCCGCAGCTGTCCTGGAACTCACTATGTAGACCAGGCGCCACCATGCCCAGCCATCAATCTTTTTTAAAAAAATATTTTGTTCTATTTTTCATATGTATGAGAGTTATACCAGCATGTAGAGTAGGTACAGCCCTGTCACGCAATGCCCATTGAGGTCAGAAGAGACATCCGATCCCCTGGGCCTGGAGTTATGGACAGTTGTTAGCTGAGCCATCTTTCCAGTCTCTCAAGTCAAATAGTCTTTTAAAACTTTTTTTATTATTTTTTCACATGTATGAGTGTATTGTCTCCAAGTATATAAGTGCATATGTGTCGTACAATGACCACAGAAGTCAGAAGAGGCCATTGGATCTCCTGAGAATGCAGTTACGGATGGTTGTTAGACACTATGTGGGTGCTTGGAATCAAACCCAGGTCCTCTGTAAGAGCAATCAGTGCTCTTAACCACTGAGTCACCTCTCCAGCCCCAAGTCAAATAGTCTTTAAAACAGATTATCTAAACACAGCCCAAAATTTGTGTTTAAAATCTTCCTCTCCAAGAAACCTGACTAATCATACTGTTTAAAACTATACTCTGGATACTCCTTTCTCTTGCCTATGCTGCTATTTAAATTTTTTTTCCATGGTAACCACCACCAAACATACTAAAACTGTGTATTTATTATGTTTACTTTGTGTTTACCAGCCAGAATGTGAGTTTCATTGAAGATCTCTGTCATGAAATACTATCTCTTCAAAAGCTTTATCATGGAGGCTGAGGCAGGTGGATCTTTATGAGATCTAGGCCAGCCTGATCTACACAGCAAGTTCCAGGCCAACAAACCAAATACACACACGGACACACAGACACATGATAATGATACTGAAATACATGACTGAATGGAAATGATAATCATCATTCCTTCATTCTATCCGTATCTACTAACCAAACAAAAAAAGGAGAGTATCAGTTAAATAAAGATTCTGTACCGTGAGAAACAGAACTCTAATTGTTTTTTCAGACATTCTTTTAAATCTTCTGTAGAAACTGTTGAACTGCTTTCTCCTGATGGCAGAAAATAAGAGGAAGAAAGTTATCAAGTTATCACAGATGGTGAAACTTACACATACTGTACTCTGTACATGGCAGTCATAAAGTATCCACAAATTAAAATTTACCACAAAACTATATTTTAAAATTAGGTTTAATTTCTTTCACCTTACCCATTTTTTCAGCAACATTTCATAATAATGAAAGAATTATTTTATTGAGCTGGAGATACAAGCTCAGTGATATATAGCAGAGTGCTTGCTTAGCATGTGTGAGGTACTGGGTTTAATCTGTAATTCCACAGGGAGTGGGGGGAACCTCAATTTTCTGGCTAGATCCTCTTCTTAAAAAGGATGAATAGGAGCCGGGCATGGTGGAGGCAGATCTCTGAGTTCAAGGCCAGCCTGGTTGACAAAGCAAGTTCCAAGCCAGTTGGGGCTACAAGAAGATCCTGTCTCAAAAAGACCAAAAAAAAAAAAAAAAAAAAGGGGGGGGGGATGAATAGAAGGAGCTGGAGAGGCGAGTCAGAGGCTAAGAGTCATTCTGCTCTTCTAGAGGGCCTAAAATCTATTTCCAGCACCCATGTTGGGTGGCTCACAACCGCCTATAACTCCAACTCCAGGGAATGGTCCTCTTTTGGCCTCTGCAGGCACGTACACATGTGGCATACATTCACACTGACACGCACATATTCAAATAAATAAAAATAAATCTAAAAAAATTTAAAAACTATTAATAAAAAGCTAACCTTTTTAAATACACAGACACAACAGGATGTACATGGAGATGGATAAGCTGTCTTACTAACAACTAAACTGTTTTACTGCTCATGAATTAGTGATATTAACTCCATCACTTAATAACATTTTCCATTATTATGTAAATGAAAGCTTAAAAACTTACTACTAGCTGGGCGTGGTGGCGCACACCTTTAATCCCAGCACTCAGGAGGCAGAGGCAGGAGGATCTCTGTGAGTTTGAGGCCAGCCTGGTCTACATAGTGAGTTCCAGGCCAGCTGGGGCTATAGGGAGACCCTGTCTCAAAAAGACCAAAAAAACAAAACAAAAACAACAACAAAAAACTTACTACTGTGGGCTGGAGAGATGGCTGAGCTGTTTAGAGCATGTTTTGCAGAGGATCTGAGTTCAGTTCCCAGCACCCAAATTGGGCAGCTTACAACTGGCTGTGACTTCAGCTCCAGAGGGATCTGATGCCTTTGGCCTCCAAGGGTACATACCCATATATATAATTTTTTAAAAAACATACACTGTTGTATATATGTGAATAATGTATAAGCATATATGCCCAGGTCAGAGGTCAATTTTGTAGCATTGGTTCCCCCTTTATTGTGGGTTCTACTGATAAAATTTAGGTTGCCAAGCTGATGTGGAAAGCACTTTTACCTCTGAGTATTCTCACCTGTGAGCGCACTCTTCTTTACAGAACTCACCTCACCCACCCCAATGCTAGCAAATAAGCAATCAATTTAATTAACCTCCAAAGTTATAGTTGTCACATCATTTACCAAGTCTCTATTCAAAGTGGCTAGCTGTTATATGTACTATGACAGGACTCACTACTTTAAATTATCATATAGATATCCACCCTACACACCTCAGAAATTACCTTCCAGACCAAGAGACTTTTAAATGTAGCCTAGGGCTGGAGGATACTCAGTGGGAAAAACAATCATGAGAACTTAAATTCAGATTCTAAGCACCCATGTAAACAGCTGAGTATGGTTACAAGTACATACAATCTCAGTACTGGGGTGAGAATGAGGTACAATGGGTGGGAAGGGGGTTTAAACAGGATGATTATTAGTTTCCTGGCTGCCAGTCAGGCTGAAAAATGGTGGGCTACAGGTTAGGTGAGAGGCCCTGTCTTGAGAGAATATAGTGAAGAAAGAGGAGGACATCTGAATTCCTTTTCTGGCCCCTGTGCACATTCATGCATGTGGGTGGGCACACTTGCATACACATGGACACATGTGCTTATATACCCCATCAATCAAGTCTAAAACATTTAAAAGATGATCAAAGACAAATATTTATAGAACCTTACTTGAAATCATAGAGGTACTTAAGGCAGAAAGATATATCCACTCCATATAATAACTATTTTTCAAAAAAAATCCTTTGGGGGCAGGGTATGGTGGCAGTTACCTTTAATCCCAACACTCACCAGAGGCAGGTGGATCTCTGTGAGATCCTTTGGAAAAATTTACTTAGGTAGTTGGAATCTAGGGTTCATTTTAGCTCCTTTAAAATTCCATCCATTTTGGAGCTTGAGAGATGGCTTAGCCATAAAGAGCACATATTATTCTTTCACAGGACCCAAATTTGGTTCCCAGCACCCATATTGGGTGACTCACAACTCTGTACACTTCTGGCTTCTGCAGGTACCTGCACACACATATACGCGTACACACACACACACACTCATGCTCTCTCTCTCTCTCTCTCCTCTCTCATACACATACACACAATTTAATAAATAAATAAATAAATAAATAAAAATCTTTCAAAAAATTTCATCCATTTTAAATCCAATTGACTACTAACCTATGCTGGTTGGATCAATATGAAAAAAACATTCCAGAAACTGAACTATAGAGGATGGATCTTAAAAAAAAAAAATTATATGTATGTGTGTCTCTCTGTGGGAGTATATACCTGTGAATGCAGTAAGTGCCTGTGAAGATCAGATGTGTTGGATCTCCCTGCAGTACTGGAGCAACTGTAAGCTGCTTGACAAGGGTGTTGAGAATTTAATTCTGGGTCCTGTGGAAGAGCAGTCCCAGAACTCATATTTTTAATAGATAGTAGCTTTCTTCTAAAAGTAATTTCTGCAGTATAACACTTTGTTTTTAAATTTTTAAAGTATATTTTTGTTTTATGTGTATGAATGTTTTGCCTTCATGTATGTATGTGCACCACATCTATGCCTGGTGCCTGGAGGCCAGAACAGGGCATCAAATAGCATCAGATACTTTGGAACTGGAGTTACAGATGGGTACTGGAAATCGAAGCCAGGTCCTCTTCAAGAGTACTAAGTGCTCTTAACTGACAAGCCATCTCTCCAGTCTCAACATTTTTGTTTTAAAATGAACTTCATACTGGCAAAATGGAAGGAAAACTAAAAGAACTTACAATTGCAATGATCCCAACTAACAGACTGAGAAACCTGGGACCCTTGTGAAGGTTGCAATTTGGTTTTCTTTTAACTATTTTTTCCTGTTATCTTTAACCTCACACTTTCCTTTAATGGGATTTCATACAGATTTTTAATTTAAATTTCATGTTTGGGTAACATCCAATGATACTGTTAATAATCACCTAACAGTTCATTGACATAAACTTCTTTTCAAAGAAGAATACAAAATGCGAGTGCTTAGGGAACTAAATTCTTATTTTAGCAATAAAATGATAAAGGTTACCAGAAACAGCATATATTTGGTAACTCAAATCTTCAGGTCCTAAAATCATTCCATCAGTTGATTCTTCAATGCCTGTAGTATTTCTTGTGGCCTCACAAGATGGAGAATACATTACTTCATATTCCTTACACATATCTTCTGAAAGTTCTGTATTATCTGTATTCAAGAAAAGATATTGAAAGTAAACAGGAATTCTTTAACTTCAGGAATTCTGAGCCATGTCTTCTAAAATAAGATTTCAAAGAACTGTAACAGTTGGGAAAGTACCCCCAATGTTTTAAGTAAGTTATTTGTAGCTGGGGATGGTGGCGCATGCCTTTAATCCCAGCACTTGGGAGTTAGGTGATCTATATGAGATTTCTATGAGATCCAGGCCAGCCTGGTCTACATAGTGAGTTCCAGGCCTGATGGGGCTACAGAGACCCTGTCTCAAAAGCCCCCCCCCAAAAAAAAGGTCTTTTGAAGAAAGGTAAGCTAAGAGTTGACCATTATGGATAAGGTAGTATGATTAACAATAACTAAAAACTTATATAACATTTTATGGATCAGACTATCCCATGTACTTCATTTTCTTAGTTTTCTGAAAATCCTAAGCTATAGGAAATTGTTAATTTTCCATTGTTTCTGTTCTGCAAATGGAGGAAGTAAGTGTTGAGACATTAACTACCCAAGGTCAGTGAGTAAATATGAGCGATGATAGACCTAAATTAATTTAGAATTAAGAAATTATAAATGATGCATCATAAATGGGCTAGATGCTGAACCCAAAGACATATATACTACTTGAAATTAGTGACCATTCATGTTAAGTATGAATAAGAATTACATATAGGGGCTGGAGAGAAGGCTCGGTGGTTAAGAGTACTAGCACTGGTTACTCTTGCAAATAATCCAGGTACAGTTCCTAGCACATACATGGTGGCTAACAACATCCATGAATCCAGTTCTAGGAGATCTAATGTCCTCTTCTTGACTCTATGGGACTTCACTTCCATACATGCAGACAACACACTCATACATAATTTTTTTAATTTACAAAAGAATTATGTATAAACTGTATGACAAACATTTATAAATGTATTTCAGCAAAATTTTTATTTGGATCTGAAATGTGCTTTAATAGCTCATGAGATAAATACTTGGTTCCAAATGCAACAATATTTAGAGGTAAGACTTTGGATAAGTGACTAGTTCTTGAAGGCCATCACTCCATCAATATATCAATCCACCGAGGTGATAGGAGGTGGAACCTAACTGAAGGAAGAGGTCTGTGGTGGCAGGCCCTTTTAAGTCCATTCCATTCGTGTTCTCTCTTTGCTTTCTGGCCATGATGACAAAAGCAGCTCTGTTCTATCACAAACTCGCAGTCATGATGTCCTCAAAGGGTCAAACTGACAGGACCAAGAGACCACATACCAAAACCTCTAAAATAATGAGTTAAATAAATCTTTTCTCCTGAAAGATGACTTTTCTTAGGTATTTTGTTCAGCAACAAATGTTAACTAACATATTAAATAATCAAAGAATGTGTTTCAAAGTTGTGTAAGCTGGTATGCCCATACATTTAAACAAAATGTGATTTTTCCAATTAAATATTTAGGACTTACCCTCAGATCCAGAGGTGGCTGAGGTTTCATGCCAAGAGCTTTCAGTTACAGGAGTGCCATCAGGATTTCCAGGAGGAATTTCTTGCCATACTTTGGCATTAGGATTTAAACCAGTGCCTTTAGATGCTACCTGCTAAACAATCAAGAGATCTGTGTAAATTCAGATCAAGGGCTTTTTCATTACTTCAATTGAAAAAAAAAAATCAAATAATGCTAACATAAATATTACAGAGTTTTTCTTTGTTCCCCAGGAAGAGTCTCAAACTACATGGCTTAAGTTGGTCTGGAACTCCCTATGCAGCCCAGGTTGGCCTGGAGCTTGTGATCAGTCTGTGTTTACTTCGTAAGTTCCAGGATTACAAATACATACCACCGTACCCAGGCAAATATTATAGCTTCTGATCAACCTGAAAATATAAGACTTTTAAAGTAATGAATCTGAAGTATTTCAGATTACTACATGAAATCTGGCTAACTATATAAAAAAAGTATATATTGCCAGGCGTGGTAGCGCATACCTTTAATTCCAGCACTCGGGAACGAAGAGACAGGTGGATCTCTGTGAGTTCAAGGCCAGCTTGGTCTACATAGTGAGCTCCAGGCCAGTGGGGGTGCATATATGGAGACCGTGTCTCAAAAAGACAAAAAAAAGAAAAAAAAAAGAAGGAACTAACTTATTTTCTTTTGTTTGTTTAACTTGTGTGTATGTATGTGTTATCGGATGTATGCCATGAGGGTGCATGTGTGAGTACCTGCAGAGGCCTGATATGACTGCTGGGAGAGGAACTGGGTCCTCTGGAAGAGCAGAAAGTGCTCCTAACCACTAAGTCTTCTCTCCAGCTCTCTTGTTTGTTTTGAGACAAGGTTTTACCATATAGCCCAGGCAGACCACTCACTCTCAATATTCCTGTCTACACCTCTAGGATTATCACTGTACGTCATCATGCCTGGTGCACTCTTCTTAGCTGCTCCCCTTCTATACTCCACAGAGTTTCAAACAGTTCAGGCTGGCCTTGAAATCACTACGTATTAGAGTATAACCTTGAACTCCTAATCTTCTAGCCTCTACCTCTCAAGTACTACAATCACAAGCATGTACCACCATGCCTGACTTATGTGGTGCTGGGCTTTAAACACTCTACCAAATAAGCTACATCCCCAAACTTTAAAAAAGCATTTTTGAGGGGCTGGAAGAGATGACTCTGGTTAAGGTAGCACTGACTGCTCTTGAAGAGAACCTGGGTTCAATTCCCAGTTCCCATATGGTGGCTAACAACTACCTGTAACTCCAGCACGAGGAGATCTGATGTCCTCTTCTGATACCCCCTGGCACTGCAATGACAGGGGTGCACTTAAACCCATGCAGGCAATACACTCACACATAATTTAAAAAATATTTAAAAAAAAAAAAGTATTTTCGAAAGGAGAAAATCTGCGTTTACATGCTTAATCCTTTTTCCCTTAATTTTGATAACACTAGATATGTCCTTACCTCAAAGATAGCAAACTTTAAGAGTCGAGCCATTTCAATGTAGTTTAATAATTACTATTAACATGAAATTATTTAGGCTTTAGAATCACATTTCTTAATTTTATTTGTGAAAAAATGGGAGATTATGTTTAAGTGGGCGCTTTTTTTTGTGTGTGTGTATATGACTGTATTGCCTGCTTGTATTTAAGTGCGTTCTTGTCGTGCAGTGCATGTGGAGGTCAGGAGAGCATCAAATTGCCCTGGAACTGAAGTTATAGATGGTTGTTGACTGGCATGTGGGTGCTGGGAATCGAACTCAGGTCCTCTGTTAAGAGCAGTGCTCTTAACCGCTGAGCCATCTCTCTCCAGCCCTCTAAGTGGGCTGGCTCTTAAGGAGAAAAATTCTCCCTTTGCTAGGAGCCTGCCTAGGAAGGTCCCTAACCTGAAATCACTTTAAATTCTTTCTTTTTTCCTTTTTTGAGAAGGGGTAGCCTACATATGATATGAAGATGATAATGGTACTAAACACCTGATCCTCCTTCCAGCCCTACCTCCCAAGTGCTGCTAGGGCCTTCTTCTGACTCCACAGGCATTGCACAACATGGGTGCATTTACACACATGCAGGCAATACATTCAAACACATAAAATAAAAAAATAAATAAATAAGCCAGGCATGGTAGTGCACACCAATAACCCAAGCACTCGGGAGGCAGAGGCAGATGGATCTTTATATAACAAGTTCCAGGCCAGCTGGGGCTACAGGGAGACCGTGTCTCAAAAAAAAGGACTGACTGACTGACTGAATGAATGAATAAATAAATGAAAAACTGGAACAAAATACTCAGTACAAGTTGGGTGTTTTCTATAGCATGTCAATAATGAGTATGACAAGTCAGTTTATAATAAAATCATGCATTTCCATACTTTTTGTTTTGTGAGACAGGGTCCTTTGTGTAGCCCCCACTGGCCTCAAATTCTCTATGTAGCTAAGCATGACCTTGAACTCCTAATCTTCCCATGGTTACCTCTCAAGTGCTGGAATTACAGGCATGTACCAGTAATTCTTGCTCTAGCTGGCTTGTCTGTCTCTTGTTCACTGGTTTGCTTGGTCCTCCTCTTCCTCCCCTCCCCCATCCCTTTTCTTTCTTTTTTGAGTCAGGGCCACCTGCTATATACTCTAGGTTGACCTCAAGCTCATGATCCTCCCCCATCATCCTCCCAAACACAATCATACTTTTTAATTCTAGAGAAACAAACCTGAATCAATTTGACTAAGATTTAATAAAGACATTCATCCTATACAGCTCCACAATTACACAAATAGCTAAGTATCCTAACAGCTCAGAACCGAACACAGGGCTCCAAGCCTATAACCCCAATGTTAATAATCCTAGCACTCAGTAAGCTGAAGTAGAAAGGTCAAGAAGATTAGGCCAGTCTGGGCTACATGAGACAAAGCAGACAATAACAACAAAAACCTGAAGCATGAGGATTGCCATGAATTCAAGGCTAGACTTAGCTACACATTGAGTTCCAAGCTAACCTGAGCTAGAGAAAGATCCTATCTCAAAAAACAAAAATTCTATAGCAGACACAGAGGCTATACAGTTGTATAAAATATTTATTAAAGGGGCTGCCTATAGTGGGGTATACCTTTGATTCCAGCACTTGGGAGGAGAGGCAGGCAGATGCCTGGTCTCACAGGGGGTTCAAGGCCAGCCTGTCTCAAAAAAAACAAAAAATGTATGGAAGGATATAATTTTCAAAGAACACTGAAGCTGTTGCCAACATACAGTGTGTGATATGCAAGCATAGGTACGACACAAAAATAACCAAACTATCTCTAAAACAGGAGTCACTCCTCTTAATTTTTCCCCAATCACCACTATTTTTAAACAAAGTGTGTCCATCCCCAGAGAAACCAAGAATAGTCCTGATGTTTTTTTTTTTTTTTTCCTTTATTTTATGCAAAATTCTACCTGAGGGGAAAGGAAAAAAGGAAGAGATCTAATTCTTTCTGAAATGGTGTCTTCCTATTCTGAGGAATTTTAAGGTTAAAGAAAAAAAAAAAAAAAAAAGATGAGGGAAAGTTACCATAAATATGGAAAAACCATCTGTTTGGACATATATAATCTTTTGTTATACCTACATATTTACTACCAGAAACAAATCCAAAGCTTCTTAAACCTAAGAAACTTTTTTTTTAATTCTTTGAGAACATACAACAGTATATTCTGATCATATTCCTTCTTCCTCTATAAACTGGTTAAACTTGGGGGCTCAGAGGTTAAGAGCATTGGCTGCTCTTGCAGAGGACCCAGGTTCAGTTCCTAGCACCAACATGGCAGCTAACAACTGTGTATAACTCCAGTTCTAGGGGCTCTGACACACTCTTCAGGCATCCACATGTAAGTGCACACAACATGGGTGCACTTACACACATGCAGGCATAACACTCACCCATAAAATTTAAAAATTTTTTAAAACATGAAAAAACAAAAATTAAAATGAGAAATTTTCACTCATTCTAAGAATAATCACTAACCTAGCACTTAACTGGTCTCCAACAGCCTCAGCTCAATACTAAAATCATCAATGTTTTACAGATATGGAGAAAGCTACCCTAACCTTACAGCAATCTGCCCAAGGCTGCACAGCTAGTAAGATAGAGCCAGTATTTGGAACCTGGTAATTAGTCTAGGAAGTCTGTGTTCTTAAATCATTACACTAAAGTTTCCTAAATTATTTAGAAGTATTGCAAATCTCTCTACGCCAATATCCTCTTGCCCCAGTTTTACCTGGAATGGCTAAAGATCTCTAAGAAATGGATACAGCTGGGTGTGGTAGTGTATACCCTTGATCCCAGCATTCATGAGTTCAAGGCAAGCCTAGTCTACATATTGAGTTCAGGCCAGCTGGGTCTACCGGGAGACCTTGTCTCAGCTGAAGAATAATATTTACGGTAGCTTGCATAAAAGAATTTAACCTCTACCACAAAGCGCTTATCCCAACATGAAATTCTGTAATTATTTTGTCTGTGAATTCCACAAAGGCAATGACCTTGTCTATGGTTTACTGTTCTCTTAAAACCCTGAACAATATATGAATGCTTAGAACACAGGAAAGCGACAATATAATTTGTAGAATGAATCAGCGAATGAAAACATGCTAGTCAGTGTTTCTCAAACTTTGATATGGATAACAAGTACCCACAGATATTGATAAGATCTATTTAGCAGTTCAAGTACAGGGCCAATTTGTATAACAAATCCCTGGGTAACAGAAGCCTGCTGCTCCTTTACAGATCAAGCTTTAAATACCAAGGTAGCTCAACACCATTTCACTCCTACCAAGCTTTTCAACTTGTCTAGAATCTGTTTTCACTCACCATCCACAGTAGCCTAAGTTTATTTATCAATAAAGCTATTACTTCTGATTCTCTAGAAGAAAAGACAGAAAAATATATCCCCAAATTTCCTCTACCTTAGGCAGATGCCTGAGCTGATTGTTTTAAAAAGAGGCAGCCATACGTTAATGGCATTTAACTTTTTGTGTATCATGGACTGCCACAAAATTACTAAAAAGTTTCAGACTTCTGGAAGAGTTCTATAAGACTTGTGAATCTTCTCGTTAAAGATTAAGAATTCCAGGGGCTGGAGAG